GAGGCTGTGCTTCTCCCAACCTGTGGTCAAAGGCTAGCGGGCACTTCAAAGGCACCTGCCATGGGGTGAAGAGAGGAAGGGACAGAAAACTGACAGGAAGGAGTTCATCGCATTTATTGATTGATAATAAGTTCGGGCCAGCTGCACCGGAATGCTCCCTGCCTGGGCTCTGCGAAGAGGGGCAGCGGTGATCCTTCTGGTTGGTGCCAGGAGGGAGCCAGCCCTGGGCCTGGTGCTCAGGACCACTGAGGCGTGCTGTCCAGCTGGATTGCCTTGGTGGGCAGCATCAGCCTGGGCCAGGGATCAGTCCCAGGGTCCTGCTCCCTCATTCTGTCAGCCTGGGCCTCAGGCACAGAACCTCAGAGCCTGCAGCCTGCCCACCTGCCCAGCCACATGGGGACAGAATCACCTGAGTGAGAGGAGGATGGAGGAGCTCCTGGCATGATGCTGGGGAGGAGGACGTGAACATGGGCCAGGATTTGACCAGGGGTGACAGATGGGGAAGTGGGGTCAGCGAAGAGCTTACAGGCTCAGATGATGTTGCGCTCTTCGACCTTCTCTCCCAAGTAAAAGCGGCTGAAGAGGAGGGAGCTCAGGTTGATGGTCTGGAACTGGCCCTCTAGCACCATCTCGGCCACAGCTCGCCCCACGGCGGGGGCCTGCTGGAGACCATGGCCACTGAAGCCTGTGGCAAAGTACATGTTGACCACCAGGGGGTGGGGGCCCACCACGCCGTTCTGGTCAAAGGTGTTGTAGTCGTAATAGCCGGCCCAAGCGCTCCGAACCTGCAGGTGCACGAGACGTTGGGGTTCTCTGGAAGGCCGCCAGGGCAGCCACCCCGCTCCTGGTCAGGCCTCAGCACCCTCTACCACTGCCGAAGGGGTTGACAGCATGGGTTCTTAGACCCACAGAGCCCTTAGCAATTGTGAGGTAGACAGATGGGCCCGAGATGCTCCAATGTCATGCCTCCTAGTTACCTTCAGACTCTGAAAAGCTGGTACTCTGTGGGCCAAATGGGGCCACACCTTGTCCTGGAAGAAATCGTGGTCCACTTCCAGGTTCCCCGGGTCCGGTTCCTCCTCCTGGGGTGAGAGGTGGGGATACAAAAACAGAGCCAGGGCTCACTGACCTCTTTAGTCAACCCCCTAGGTGGGTGGGGGATGGGGACGAGAGATCCCAATTGAAACCTGAAAGTGCTGCCACATCAGTAACAGCACCGGCCCTCCCCAGAGCCTGAAACTTTATTTATTTATTTTTTTAATAACTATTTTTTAATATATTTTATTGATTTTTTACAGA